GCAGTTGAAGTCCACCAGCCACTTCTCGGAAACCCTATAAAGGGTTACTATGAGTTGGAAGTGACTCAGTGGCACTTCACAACAGTAACAACAAAGTTCAAGCTGAAGCTGGAGAAAATTAACATAAGCCCAACAAGAGCCAAATTGTGACCTTGACTAATTTAGAGACCAACTCAAGAACAGATCTGAGGCATTAGACACCACTGACCAAAGACAGGAAGAGCTGGGGATGGCACCAAGAATACCGTACATGGACTGGATCCAAAACCTTTTCCATTATTCCGGTATTATCATGTGTGCTGCTTTCCTCGCGGGGGCATCCCCGCGCTCAGTGCATGCCTTCTTTGCGCACCTGCTGACTGGCGGGGAGCCTGGGCTCACTGTGGGGTAAAGTGCTGCTCATCGAGAACGTGGCGTTGCTCTGAGGCACCACCGTCCAGGACTACACCCAGATGAATGATCTGCAGTGGGCCTGGTCATGCTGGGCTTCCCATGCAACCAGTTTGGGCATCAGGAGAACACCAAAAACTAAGAGATCCTGAATTCCCTCAAGTATATTCGACCAGGTGATGGGTTCGAGCCCAACTTCACCCTTTTCGACAAGTGCGAGGTGAACGGCGCACAAGCTCACCCACTCTTTGCCTTCTTGCGAGAGGCCCTGCCAGCGGCCAGTGACGATACCACTGCACTCATGACCGACCCCAAGCTTATCACCTGGTCTCCAGTGTGCCGCAACGACATTGCCTGGAACTTCGAGAAGTTCCTTGTGGGCCATGACGGTGTGCCTGTGCGCAGATACAGCCGCCGATTTCCAACCATTGACATCGAAGCAGACATTGAGGCTCTACTATGCAAGGAGACCTAGGGCGCTCCCCCATCCCACACTGCCTGGCAGTCACTATGTTGCCTTCTTTGGGGGCTTTTCATTAATGGTATTTCTCTAAACCTGAGTAGAGAAGCACCTGATGTCTTGGAAATTTCCCCCCAGATGGGCACTAGACCTGTCCATCCCAACCTAGCCTTCCAAACTAAGACAAATCTCCCCACTAATAAAGTGCCAAGTGTAATGAATAAAAAAAAGAATACCGTACATGAAGAAAGCAAAAGATCATTTAAAAGACAGTAAAGAAAGAAAGAAAAGACCAAAGTGGATGTCAGAAGAAACTTGCTCTTGAACACAGAGAAGCTAAAGCAACTGGAAGAAATGAGGAAGTAAAAGAGCTGAACAGAAAATATCAAAGGAAAGCTCTAGAAGACAAAGTAAAATATCAAAATGAAATGTGTAAAGACCTGGAATAAAAAAATCATATGGGAAGAAAATACTCAGCATTTCTCAAGCTGAAAGAACTAAACAAACAAACAAACAAAACCCAAGGATTCTATAGGCAAAATATTGACTGATGCAGGAAGCATCAAAAGAAGATGGAAGGAACACACAGACACTGTACCCAAAAGAACTGACCTATGTTCAACAACTTCAAGAGGTAGATATAAGATCAAGAACTGATGCTACTGAAGGAAGAAGTCCAAGCTGCACTAAAGGCATTGACCAAAAACAAGACTCCAGGAAAAGACAGAATACAAACTGAAATCTATCAACAAACTGATGCAGCCCTGGAGGCCCTCCCTTTTCTATGTCACGAAATTTGGAAGTCAACAACATGGCCAACAACCAGAAATAAATTTGTATCTGTGCTCACTTCAAATAAAAGTGACCCAATGGAATGGGGAAATCATTGAATAGTACCATTAATATAATAAGCAAGTAAAGTTTTGCTGAAGATAATTCACAAACAGTTGCAGAAATACATCGACAGGCAGTTGCTTGAAATTCAAGCCGTATTCAGAAGGTCGTGGAATGTGGGATATATCATTGCTGACATCAGTGGGATCTTGGCTGAAAGCAAATAGTACCAGAAAGATGTTTACTTGTGCTTTATTGACTATGCAAAGGCATTCGGCTGTGTGGATCATAACAAGCTATGGAAAACATTGTGAAGAATGGGAATTCCAGAACAATTTTTGTGCTCATGCAGAACCTGTACACAGACCTTGACGCAGTCATTCAAACAGAACAAGGGGATACTTAGTGGTTTTAAATCAGAAAGGTATGCACCAGGGTTAGAACCTTTCACCATATTTACTCAATCTGTATGCTGAGCAAATAATCCCAGAAACTGGGTTATATGAAGAACAGACATCAGAACTGGAGGAAGGATCATTAACAATCTACAATATGAAGACGACACAAACTTGCTTGTTGGAAGCAAAGGGGACTTGAAGCACTTACAGATGAAGATCAAAGACTATAGCCTTCAGTACAGAGTACACCACAATGCAAATAAATAAAAACCCGCACAAATGGACCCAAAGAAATAACATCATAATAAATGGAGAAAAGATTGAAGTTGTCAAAGACTTCCTTCTACTTGGATCCATAATCAATACTCATGGAAGTAGCAGTCAGGAAAACAAACGAAGTATTGCATTATGCAAATCCGCTGCAAAAGATCTCTTTTAAAGTGTTAAAGAGTAAAGAAATCAGTTTGAGGACATATGCATCGAAGCCCTTGTCCCGACAACATATCCTCTGAGCACAGCTCCCCTAGTCTATACCTAAGTTGTTCACACTGTTCCTTCCTGCAGTCTGCTCCTTTCTTTCTTCAACACGTCTCCCATTTCTCCTGCTGCAGAGTCCCTAGACCCAGCCCTTAGTGCCTTCTCAAGGAGAATGGATTTGAGGTCTCATATTTTACAAATCAAAAAGCAGAGGTTCAAAATCTTGCTGGTGTTCAGACAGCTAGCAAATGAGGGTGACAATAGAAGACACGCTGGCTCCTGGTGAGGAAATGGGAGCTTTGAGATCAACCCCACCACTGGGAGTGGAAGCATCAGGTCACTGCCGAGTGGGGCTGGGAGCACAGCTGCGTTTCCTAAGTCCCTTGCTACACAGGTCAAATGAACTGACAGGATAGCTCTCTTACTCATTTTGCTGGGGATGACTTTTCTCTTTTACAAATCCAATTCCTATTGAGACTATTGTCTCCTAGTTCTTCATGTTACCAAGATTTATACACAAACCCCGGTTAGGCAGGGCAGGAAGCCTCCTGGGACAGCATGCAGCTGGGAGAGTCTGACTCAGTGGTTTCTGGCTATGGTTGGGGGAGGCTCTGAGAAAGAGCCTGTGTGGCAGTACTAGGGGGGAGCCAGAGAATGGAACCCAGGAAGACACATGGTCCATTTGCAACTTCCAACCTACATCCTTCCTCCGGTCTGCAAGGGGAATCAACTATCTTCTTTTGGATCCCTGGTCCTCAATGGGGTGACTGCCCTCCTGTAGACCTCTGTGATTGTCAGAACTGGGGTGGTATTACTGACATCTAGTGGGTATCAGCTAAAGACCCTACAATGCACAGACTTTATCCAGCCCAGAGTCTGAACTCGGGGAAGCCGTGCTCTAGACAAAAGGGGACCCAGTTCCTGTGTGAAGAACTCTGGGGGTGCCATGCTCTGGGTGCCATGCTAGAGGAGCAGTCCTACTGGAAAGAAACGGGCATCACTGGTTTCTTCTTTCATAAGGAGCCAGGCAAGCGCTTCTTTCTAACTTTATGCTCTCCATTCATTCAACCTCCAGGGCGACTTTCATCCACATGTCTGCTGGGGATTCTTAAATGCACTTTATCCACAAGCAGTCCTGGCCTCAGTGGAGGACCTACAAACAACACAGTCCACCCTCCTCTCGTGAATTATGTGATAGTTTACATGGGAGAACATTAGTTTTACCTTCATCCTATTGTATATCATTTCATTGCCATGGTTACAATCCCCTCCATGTATCATGCATCATCAACAAACCATGGGGTATACTCGTCAGCACACAGCCCCGCTCCCTCTCTGAGTCTAAAGTCCCCAGCCGCTCCATCTCTCCACATCATCGTCTCTGCCTCTATCTCTAGTGTCAATGCTTCTCTGGGTAGGGTCCTGCTCTCCACTCTTTTCCCTTGATGGTCCCAGGGACCTCTGTTCCTAGACTACAAAGTTCAACACTCCCCTCCTCCTTGCTACTAAACGTCTACCTTTACATCTCCAACCCTCACAAGCAGTCCTGATAACAATTATTCACTATTGTATCACGAGACCTATCCCCATTCTCCTTTCATCAGCCCTGTCCAGACAGATTGGATACTACTCAGTAGAGATTCTACCTTCCTCTGTGCTCTCTGGATCTAGGCTCCCTCTTGAAAGCTTGTAAGCCAGTCACTTCATGTCTTTATAGCGCCCCCACTTTGGGTAGCTAATGTCCAAGTTGCCCATCCCTGTCTACTCTGTGTATGGAGGGAGTGGGAGGGAATGATCCTTTTGACAGAGCAGATCTCTTAATGACCATTTTTGACACCCTCGATCTCCAATGAACCAATGGTTCTTTTCCGTCACTGGTTCTCTGATAAAGGAAGAGGAGAGGCAGTATACTCCCTGGCTTCGGGAGTAACATCACTGTGTCCCCTTGGACAGGCTGAATAGGGGTAACAGCACTCACTCCCTAAGGGACTGTTAGACAAAGTAGGTAGAACAGTGCCTGAGCCATGTCAGGTATGTGTAGATATGAGTCAGCTACTATTACTGCTGAGACCCATAAGGACTCAGCTATTGTTCATTCAACAATTGATTATGCCATCTGGTAAATTTCCTGCATGCGTCTGTGAAGCATCTAAGCCATCTAACAAAGCCATCTTCCTTTTAATAATTAAACTAGGAACTCCTGAAGTTATCACTTCAAAAATAAGAGTTAAGATAAATCATGTGATACCACCTTAGAGTGACCTTAAAATGACTTCATTCGAGTCAGTAGTTTTGATCTTTAGAGAATGCTTTTGGAGAAACAAGGCCCAGTTAAACCACAGATGGTAAGAAAAACGTTTGTGGAGTCCAAAGCTGGAGCCAAGCCATGGGTGACTGGCAGGGCCCAGGTGTGTTCACTGACCATGTAATATTAGACATACCTTGCTCCCCGTGAGCTGCGCGAGGTGAGGTTTCAGGTCTTCTCCAATTACGGAATAAATGGCCACTAAGCAAAACACGCTGGCCTTCCGCACACTACTTTCGGTGTTGTCATAACCCTGTAGTGCCAGAGGGGAACACAAAAAGGAAATGAGTGGGCTGAAAACTCGGGGCGGGGGGAGTGTAGGGCGGGTTTCTAGGATATACCCTTTGGTTGGCTGGTGATGCATGGAGGGGATTGGAACCATGGCAATGAGATGATGTACGATGGAATGAATGTAAAACTAAAGTTCTCTCGTGTAAACTATCATATAATTCACAATAAAACATTAAAAAAAAATCCTATACAAGTGGTAAACATTGTAGCCTAAATAAAATAACACAAGTGTATAACAATGAAAAAAAAAAACACATTTTTATGATTTTTGCTTTCACAGTGGTTCTTAATCCACTTTTAAATGATTATTGTATGTGATGTGAAACATGCATCCTGCTTCATTCTTCTGTAAATGGAAATAAAAATTTCTGAGCACTGTTAAAAATAAATAAATAAAATAAAAAGGAAATGAGATCAAAGATTTGCTTCATAGTCCTATTCCATCAACAGTTCCACAACTGCCCTGAAGAGTTTCACTCTAAGAGGTCAGGAGCTACTGGTTCCTTGGCTACTGAGACAGGGGATTGGTGAGTCTGAGCCAAGGTGGCCACTGCACAGGCAAGCTGTGTTACAACCAGCTGCACGGCGAGGTCACCAGACAATGTCACAGGAGAAACAGAGTGTGAAAAATAACTTGGCTCTTTCACATGTCTCCCAATGGTAACACAGACTGTATGTACAAAGACACCTTGAAAGGAAAACCACACCACTGCCACTCCCGTGACCACAACCTCTCTAACCTCAAGGGCACTTGGGAAATGCTCAGGCCCCTAGTCTGGCATTTATGTCCCTCTACAACTGGACCTCTATTTACCCCTTCTCCTCCTCTCACGGAACATATGGGACTACCTGCTGTTCTCCAGACAGTCTGGGTGCTTTCCCTATGCCTAGAATAATCTGGTTCCCAACAATAAGTACTTAAATTGCCTAACCAAGTGCTCAGTCAACAGCAGCATTCATTAAATGTGAACCAAATGTCTCTCTACCCTTCTCTCTTACCTTCCTCTCTTCCCACCTCTAAACTCTCTCTTCTGTAAACCCTTTTAGGGCCTTCTTTCTACCTACCCCTCACCTGGATGTCTTCTCTCCTGCTTCTGACCTCAGATATCTCCACTTGTACCTCTCTGCAGAAGTACCACACATATTTTGTCCCATGCTAGGTTGAAAAATCCTGGAGATAGTGTTGTGACAGTAGAAACCATCATTTTACCTTCCAAAGTCTAACTTGAGACCTCACACTTAGAAGGGTCTCCATAAATACTTGCTGGATATGGGAGTAAAGAGCCTTGTTTAATTTTGTACTTCATGGTCCACCTTGCTCATGACTGGGGCCTATGGGAGGGGAGGCATGCAATGAGGGTTTGTTGAAGGAATGAACAAGATGATGATCAAAACACATTTACAGTAAGCAGAAAGTTTCCTTGATGAGCCATATTGTACTCTGCCTGGAGAATCTTCCTGCTCTGCTCAGGGGCAGATGGACTAGCAGTCAACGGAGAAAGTTACAGAGTGTCCATGATGCATGATGTCATGGACTCAGAAATGCCTGGCTTCTGATGTGTCTGCACATCTACTGTCGTTACCTGCAGGAGGCCTGGGATGATGTCAGGCAGCAGCTGCAGCAGGGATTCCTTGGCGATCCTCTCAACGACTTTGGTCTGCATCTTGATGGCGGCTAGGTTGATGGGGTAGTCGGCCGTCTGGATGATGGGGCACAACACTTTGATGCACTGCTCTGGGTGGATGGAGCTGGCCAGCGTGGATGCAGCCTCCTCAGCGGCTCTCACCACCTGAAACACCCGGTGCCCCAGAGGTGAGCCCCACATGCCTCACAGGACCACACTGCTGCTTACTTTCCGGGCAAACGACAATGAACCCACTAGATGCCAGAAGGCAGCCATCACTTCCTCAGGCAAATAATGTTAAAGAGAGTGAAAGCAGACAGGTAGGGAGGGTCATTATATAGTTGGTGGGGGACATAGAAAGGCAGGTATATGGGGTTCTGGAAAAAACCTTACAGCAGTAGTGTGTGGTCCTGCAGCATAAATAGCAGCTTCCAGGGGTACACGTTAGAACTGCACATTCCCAGGCCCCACCCGAGACTTGCTTACTCAGAGACTGCTTCAGTAAGCAACCTGTTTTTAATAAGTACTCGGTAGTTCTTAACCCCCCCCCAAAAAGTGGAGAGTCTGTGCCCTAGAAGACTAGGACCTGCGAGTCTGAATGTCTCTTCTCATGGGGAGAAAAACCTGAGCAACATCAGCAGGGATGTTTCTACAGAGGCCACCAATTGCTGCACAGCTTGCGAGGTTCTGGGAGAAGCTCTGAGAATGCTGTCCTGAGGAGTCTCTTCTGGAAAGGTGCTTTTCCAGGAATGTGTGGCTCATGATACCTTCTTACTTTACACATTTAAGGAAGCACATGAAATGACCACCTCATGGCCAAAAGAGCAGCTTGGTGGAACAGTCGCTTCTAACTAGTAGAGGGGCCTCATGCGCACCAAGATTGTAAGCGACACTAAGTGCTTCTCTACAAAACAACCTCTGATAATAAACTTGGAGCTAAACAGAAAGCCCAATGAAGAAGACAGGGCAGAAGGTGTGCTAGAAAGAACCTGGGGTAAATACCAGACAATCCCAGATACCATACCATTGACAAGTGTCTAGGTAGCTTCCTGAACATCAATTTCCTCATCTGGCATTTCTCAGAGATGACCGATGACCTGCTAAGTATCCAAGGTACAGCTGATACTCAGTAAATGATAGCTACATCCACTTCTCATAGTCATGGCTAAGTTCCAGTGGGAGCATTAGTGTGGCACTGTGAGATACGCACTGGACTGCTAACCATAAGGCTGGTGGTTCAAACTCAACAACTACTCCTCAGAAAGCCTATAAAGGGTGGCTATGAGTCAGAAGCTATTCAACGGCACTTAAAAACAGTAACGGGTGCCAATGAGCAGGTTGCTATGTGAAAAATCAACAATATGTGAAAACGGAGGCTCACCACATTAGATCACAAAGTGTAGATGATGACACTATGCTATCACTGCCAAACCACTAAGAATGATGGCCCAGGGAAGCTGACACAGAACTTTAACCATCAGTTGGTGTTACTCTCTCCTTGCACGCCAACATCTGTTACTGCCCCAAATGTACATCATTAGGGCACAAGGTAATTGGATAGATTTTTTACTATTGTCAAAAATGCCAACAAGTTGGCTAACAAGATGGTTGGTATAAGTGAGTATTAGATGTTGTTGTTGTTGTTATGTGCCATCGAGTCGGTTCCGACCCATAGCGACCCTGTATAGGGTTTCCGAGGGTGTAAATCTTTACGGGAGTAGAAAGCCTCATCTTTCTCCCGCGGAGCAGCTGGTAGTTTCGAACCACTGACCTTAAGGTTCGCAGCCCGATACGTAAATTAGATGTACTATTCTATAAATTACATATACTGATGCCAGGCCATACATAGGTATTCATTTGCTTACAAATTCAACCTACTGGCAGCCTGGCACTGGCCCTTGCACACCGATGCCTCTCTGCTTTGGTCTGTTTCTCAAAACAACTTAGCCCTGTCTTTTACATAGGAACACAACAACGGTTGCCAATGCAACACTTCAATCAGCCTTGTCCTTGCTACATAAGTGAAGAATGGCAAATGAAAACAGCTTATGGATCATCTGGAAAGACTCTTCTAGTCCTGGACATGAATGTGGCTGGTCAGCCACTCTACACTAGCCAGGGAGGGCGGAGGACAAGCAGGTGGGGCTGACAGACGGGTAGCCTGAGCCACAGGGTGAGCAGGTCCCACCTGGGCTCAGCAACACATGCTGCTGTTCTGGAGCCTTCTGAAGGAGTGGCAGGCCCAGGTCCCAGAAGGCATTCAGCCTTGCTCAGTGCCATGTGTCTACTCTGTTCTCTACAATAGCAAATTCTCAAAGGAGCTGGTTTCATTTTATTTTACATATCCTATACGTTTAGGGCTGTTGTTAAGTGCCATGGAGTTGATTCCAACCCATAGCGACCCCATATAGGGCTTCCGAGGAACAGTTGGTGAGCTTGAACTGCCAACCTTGCAGTTCAAATGGCTTTGCAGTCTGGCGCATTGACCCATAATGCACCATACCAGGACATGCTGCTAATAGGACTGCTGGGTGGTGCAGCAGGTGAAGTACTCAATTACTAGCTGAAAACTTAGTAATTTGAACCCACCCAAGCCGCAGGGCACCTTGGCCCAGACTCAGCTGTGTAGAGCAGACTACTCACTCCTGGGCCCCCCAGTAAGCTAGGGGGTGGTCAAGTCGGGGAACAGGATCAATCATCCAGGCACCTTACTGTGTTAGTGGGCAGACCCTTCCCCATCAGCAAGCACTAGCTAAGCAACAAATATACTTCATATATTCACAGGAGTGGCACATTCTCCCTACCACCTTGAATTTAAGGTAGCTTGACACAGAAGAGGGCTGCTAGGCCCTTTTCCCCAGAGCTGACTGGGCACACGCTCAGCCTTGGAGAGCAGTGGGGCAGGCAAATGTAGATCAGTCCTATGAAAACAGACTCAACTGGTCTGAGCCTCATTTTTTTGTTGTTGTTAATGCTCAGATAAGGTTTTAAAGTTACCTGCTTTCATAGGTACAATGGATAAGGAAGACTGGAGAAGAATTGATGTATTTGAGTTACAGTGCTGAAGAAGAATATTAAAAATACCATGAACTGCCAAAGCACAAACCAATCTGTGTTGGAAGAAGTACAGCCAGAATGTTCCTTAGAAATCAGGATGGTCAGACTTCACGTCTCAGACCTCAGACATTTTATGAGAAGGGATCAGTACCTGGAGCCATCTGCTAGTTAAGTGGAGGGTCAGCCGAAAAGAGGAAGACCCTCAATGAAATGGATTGGCACAGTGGCAGCAGCAATGATTGTGAGGTTGGCGCAGGACAGGGCAGTGTTCATTCTGTTGTGCGCAGGGTTGTTATGAGCTGGAACCAGCTAGATGGCACCTAACAATAACAGCAACAACTTTCACAGGTAGTTGGTTTAGGTGAGATAACATGCAAATAAGTTCAGCACATTCTAGATATTAAACCTTTGATGTCTGTAAGTGAGCAGGAGTGATACGGGAAACTGTATTTGGTGGTCAGGTTACACCAAAAGGCAGGTGGTTAACCTGGAACTCTGTCCACATGTGTCTCCAGAGGCCTGCTCACATCAAATGATCTGAGAATGGGGACACTGTGGCCAAGCGGCTCTTTTCCCAAGATCGCTCAGTAATCTCTCTAGAATGCTAATCTGAGGATCAGCTCCAAACTCTTCAAGATAACACTAAAGGTCAATGAAGCCTGGTTCCCTCCATTCCTGCCCCTCTAGTGGCATTTCCTGCTCTCCTTGCTTGTCTCTGGTCATATGACCAAGAGGGAACACCCTCCACATCTCTGTGCTCTTATCTCATTCAACCTTATTGCTCTTCCTGCAAAGTTTCTCACTCGTGTTCTTTGCCTGTCTTCTTCAGGACTTACCTTGTGAAACACAAGCCCCAGCATGCCTCAAGTGCACATCCTCATCACAGCACAGAAGCACGTTGTGAACACTGTCTCTGCCTCTAACCTAAAAGCTCCTTGAATGTGAGATCCCACTGCAGCCCTCTTTCTATCCCAATGCTCAAGACAATGCCTAGTACACACTGTCAGGGTGGAAGTCAAGTACCATTGACTCATAGAGACTCCATATGACAGGGCAGAAGTGTCCCACGGCGTATTATACGATGGCATCTTTACAAAAGCACACTGCCAGGTCTTTCTCTACGAAGCCACTGGGTGGGTTCGAACTGCCAACTTTTCAGTTAGCAGCTGAGTGCTTAAACACTGTGCACTAGGGCTCATGTCTAATATATGGCAGATACTGGAAAATGTTAGCTGAACTAATTATCCTATACACTGTAGTGTACATTTTTAAAAAAGACTCACAACCGACAAAGCAATCTCTGGGGCATTTTTACGTTTTCTCACCCAGGAGCTGGCCTGGGAAATGAGGAGGGGGATAAGGATTTAGGAAATCCACATTCACGTCGAGTTCACTAGGGAGTTCTTTCCTTCTGCTTCCTGCCTCCATGCTGGAGACCTGTGTCAGGTTAAAGGGAGCTGCTCCGCATTAGTTACTAGAAAGACAGACTGTTTAAAATCTAGAGAGTCACTGAACAAACCCAAGGAGAACTTCTTCTGTAAAGCTCCACGAATTCTGATGCCTGCACGAAGCATATAATCAAACGCATATAACACAGGATTTTCTGAAAATAAAATCCATCTAGAAGTTGCACTTAAAGATGGATAGTCTGAGGTTCTTGCTTTCACTGGGGTTAGAGAAAGCTTCCCAACAGTTTCTGGCAAAGCAGGATGTATTCTTGACTCTACATGCCAATCCCCTGACTTTTGGCAGCTGCCCAAACCAGGGTGAACTTTAGGTTTTGTCCCTGTGTTCTATGTAACACAAGAAGCAAAGATTGTAAGTGTAAGCAAACAAAGAGCAAGAGTAAACAGAGGCAACAGAAAGGATAACATCTCTTCATACACAAGGTAGCCAGAAGTGGCAAGGATTTTAGAAAAGGGAACATTCAAAAGAGACTAGGAACGAATAGGCTATTGAGTTATAATGCATCTGGAAGTGATCAAAATTGTTCCAGTTACGCTAATTTGACTACACTCGTGATACAAACACAGGGATATTTCCTTTTAAAAGTTAGTGAAAGACAACCAGAGAACAACAGGATTCTACAGGTAGATACACAGGCTGAA